GATCGATGCATCCCAATGGCTCCGTCATGTGCTCTTCGTGGTCGCATCATAGCCATGTCATGCCCTCTCTTATATCCAGGAACGCACCTTCTCCCAGGTCCTCAGTCCGTCGTGCTTTTGGTGTTCGCGCTGCCAGTGAGGCACGCGGTTCTCGCGCATAACCCAGCTGCCGGCTGTCAGTGTCGAGCTCTGTGTGTCATATCGGGGGCCTCGAAGCGGCCGGCGCCGCGCTCCCCGCAGCCCAATATGCCGTCCATAGCTCTATCCAAGACGTACCCTGCCATTTTGAAGTATGTAGATGTGTGTTTGCGTGGTTTGCGGGGGCAATTGGTGGTTTCGTGGTATGGGCGGTTTCTCTACGTCGCGAGGTCGAATGATCCATCGGCGGAAGAGAGTCGAGTGCCAAGGCCCTTGACCCGTTTGGGCCCAGCAACTTTCCGCATCTTCAGACTTGAGCGTAGGACTGCAAGACGATTGCGGCCGCCAATGGACAAGTATCACCCTCGCACCTTGTCTTGTTGATGCCACCGGCCCTCGACCGGCTCCTCGCAAGCCCGTCGGCCTTGCGACTCCTGCGATCCATTGTCAATGCCTCGGAATTCCCTGCCACTTGCTCAACAGCCACCAAGTGCTGCTCTGTCCCTCACCACCGCAATTATTCGCACAACATCACATATCGGACAGGTCCTCTCGCACACCCAAAATGGAAACGTATGAAAGAGGCAGCCCTGGAAGCAGCGCTACGAGATTCTGTCCGCGAAGCCCTTCAAAATGACGATGCCAATGACGCAGTCAAACCGACAATCGACATATTCAAGGATCATGCCGTGCCTTTGACCACGCGTGAGGGCGATCCTACACAACTCGCCACCGTTCTTGCATATGAAGAGAGAATCAACGGGGCAGAGGGTATCCGGAATGTCTGGCGAAGCATTCGTTACCACGGCTATTCGCTACCTACTGAGGATACACCGGACGCCGAATTTCTGTGGGGAACTTCCATAAAGCATCACCAGGTCGTAACGAAGGCCGTGGAGCATGCAGGAGAATTACTTTGCGAGACGGGCAAGACGTTCCCCCGTTTGTACGCCTTAGTCATGAGCCATTGGCTTCCTAGGAATCCCAGGGCAGCGTTGAAATATCACCATGTGCTGGTGAATAGCCTGAATCTCAAGAAACTCCCTTTGCGCGAATTGGCACGTTCAGGTCGCCTTACTTTCAAGAATGATGCATACGAAGTCTTGAGGGAGATATATGAGCATAGCAACGAACGGGACCTCTATAACGAAGTGGTACCGGCCTTGATAGACAAACGTGCCATCGCAATAGCACGCCATTGGCATATGACTTGCACTGAGCGCGATGACATGCCATCAGAGGATGTTTCATTGCACCCTGTCGTTCGCCTCTTTATTGTCGAAGCAACAGCCCACAAAGTACAGGTCGATGTGACAGGGACAAGGAAGGTTCTGCACAGTGAAAAAACAAAGTACAGTGAGAAGCTCATGCGCCGCTTGTCAGGTCCTGATACTGCACCCGTTCGATTTGAAGATTCATTTGTTGCCCGCATGTTCGCAACCCGGACCTTCTCGCCGGCTTCCGTCGTACATGGGCTCTCCATGGTGGGAGTGAACGAAATTGGACCACTGGCTGTGCTTACAATGGCTAGACAGACACAGCCCATAGAAGAGCTCCAAAGTAGATTCGAAGAGCTTAGGGCTGCTGGTATTGCTTTGCAAGGCTGCGTCTTTTCATTGGCTTTGGAGAAGTTTGTTTCGGAGCAGAAATGGGAACTGGTGCGAAGCATAGTTGAAAGTGACCAGCATCCAGATGTATTTGGCGACGCTGAGGTGCAGCGGACACTGCTCGACTTTTACCTTGAACAGGGCGATCGATTGCAAGCTCAGCGCACCCTAGCTATCCTTACTCTCTTTCATAACGATCCAAGTCGAGAGTCCTGGAACCTCCTTTTGCAGACTTGCATCACACGTACCGGACCGGAGCATGTTATGGCAATACTTCAAGACATGCGCGCTAAGAACATCATGTTGACATCGGAGTCAATCATGGCTATCAAAGGCTTACTGCGTCGAAGAAATAGAGGACACAGGCCTGTTGCCTCCCACCAAAAGACGTACGATGATCTCCGATTCGTAAGTCGTACTTTCATGATGATCCTTGAGATGGGAATGGGAGCCATCTCTCCGCTCCACTGGCGCGAGGTCATTCGCCGATTCGGTATGGAAGGCAGGTTGAGAGAGCTACGCCGCCTTCTCCTCTGGCTTCTCTGCTGGTACGCGCCTAGAAGCCACCTCCAATTCGCGACATTACCCAAGTCACCTTTTCTGAAATCAGCGACCGCAAAGCTACGTGCTTTCCACCCAGAGCCTAACCGCTACTTCAACTTTCCCGGGACAATCATACAACGGCAGAACAAATTTCATCCAGTCAGACAACTCTTCCAACCCTCGCTCATCCAAGGACTCATCAAATGGGGCTTCAAAGCCGGATTACTTCCCAACGCCACCCTGGAACAAAACATACTCAATTCCAGATTCGCAAAGAAACACTACCGCCGCCGCTTACTCGAAAGCCATCTCCTCGGGCGCCTGGAGTGGAGTATTGGCCTTCAAACCGTAGTCCAACTGCGCGATCTCGGCGTATACGTACACTACCATACCGTTCTCAAAGCCCTCCAGGAGCAGTTCGTAATTATGTTCGGTCGGGGTCATTCACGCATCAAAGAAAACATGATTATGGAGCGCGTCAACACTCGCCCTTACGCTCAGTACATCCGCGAAGTCAACAAAATATGGGGCAGCCCGCTGTTTCGAGAACCACAACTCTTTGCCTCCGGAATGGTGCATCACCATATGTGGCATCCGCGTATGCGCAGGAAGATTAATCGCAGGGCTTCTATCAATCTTGTTGATATTCTGGGTCCGGACTGGCGGGAACGACACGGTGAGTGGCAGGCGATGACACCTGAGAGCCCTGCGAAAGGCGATGTTGCAGAGTCTTTGGATCATTTGAAACGCTCTTTTGAGGTACAGGCTGAAGCTCTGAATCGAGACCCGGAATCTACTCTTCGTGCGATGGGAAAGGCTATGGACGACTTGGATAGAGTTGAGACGGACGATGAAAATGGTGTACGCGTCACAAAGGTTACAAGATGAGGGCGCCTCATCCACCGTACAAGCTATATGGATAATCAGAATCGACTTACTTTGACCACTTGCGCATTCTAATACAATGTTTTCACTATCGATGTGCCTCACATCCTTTCCATATACACCATAAAAAAATCACTCTTGAATTCACTTCCCATCACATACCATCAAATACTGTGTTTTTTTGTTTTCAATCCACGCAGATCATACATTCAACATTCTTCGTTACATGAATTTAAAAAAACACCCCCCTTCCCCCTTTCTTTACGCATCAGTCCCCTTATACATATCGCCTAGACTCGTCTCCGCCCTCACCGCATCCTCATGATAATGCGCATTCGCCTTGCTCACACTCGTATCCAGCTCCTCGAAGCGCCTCAGATCCATGGGTTCCGCTAGCAGCGGGATGACGTAGGGGTCAAACGTCTTCCAGTAAGGGTTGTTGAGATGGTATTGCTGGGACTATGATTCATCCATGTATCAGCACATACAATTGGTCTTTTCTCTTGTCCTTGTGCATGTCATGTGCAAAAAAAGAGGCTCTCTCTCTCTCTCTACATCTGACGGGTGGTGGTGGTGGTGATGGTCGGGGAGGAGTAGGAGGAGCGGAAAAAAAGGGGGGATTTAACGTACACTCTCCTGCGCATACCTCTCCACGATACAAAACTTGCGCGGGTCCTTGGTGTCCTGCATGACGAACCAGCTCAGCGTCTCTTTGTCCTGGCTGTAGACCTGGCTAGCTTCGACGAGCTTGGCGCTGAGCTTGCGGATGCTTTCGGCATCGTCTTTTGCGACGAGGTGGACGACGATTGTGTAGACCATTTTTTTTTACTCTCTTTCTCTCTTTACAATTCCTTGATGTTTTCTGTTTGGATGGGTATGTAGGTGCTGGATGGATGGAGCACGTGAGACGAGTGCGGATAGTAGTAGTAGTAGTAGTAGTAGTAGTAGTAGTAGTAGTAGTGTGGGTATGTCAATTGAGCTTCGTGTATATTCGTCTTAATCTTGAGAAAAGAAGAATAGGAAGAAGGAAGCTATGCTCAATGCCCTCAACGGAGATTTTTCTACGCGATTTGCAGCCTAGTGACGTATCCGCATGCATGGGTTTGGGGCGGTCGTGGGAACAACGACCCCGCCCCGAGACGGAAAAAAGTGGAGTCTACAGAAGACAGAGGTTAGGTGATCTGCGTGTCGCCTCACACTCGTGATTCAGAGAATGCTTTTCCTTCTCGGACCGATCGGGATTGGAATAGGAGGGGGAGGAGAGTGAGATTATGGGGAGAAAAAGGAGGGTTAGAGAGGGATTGTCAGAGACTGGGTATGGATGTGGGTATTGGATTGAGTGGAGGTGTGCTCATATCCTCCCTCTACTACGTACTCATAAGGCGCTTTTCGCTGCGCTTGGCAATTGGTTATTGAGCGGACTATGTTTGAGTATTATTGTCCGATAAGATGTTCATAATCGTTATATTGTACAGTACAAATACACTACAACAACTAATTTGAAAAGTTTGATTTCGCTACATGTATTAAAACAGACAAGGGCCAGGAGAAAACATGTGCCTCCCAACACAGCCTCCTCCCTGCCTCATCTATCCCCCTTCATGAAAACTACTTTGCTTCCCTCTCATTCTCTCAATCTAATTGATAGTGAGAGTAGAAAATTTCCCAAAAAAGCTTGCGCACTAACAACGCTAAAGTTACACTATCGCCGTCCCAGTCATTTCCCTCACAGCCGAAAGGAAAAAAGCAGCACAAATATCTCATAAAAATGCCATGCCATGCCGTAAGCGCATCAAAAGCGAAAAAAAATACGTGAGAAACGCATAATTACGCCTTGCTCAACATCTTGAGTACCTCTTCCTTCTCACTTGTCGGTAGCGTGCTGAGCAAGCTAATGACACCCTTCAAGCCACCCTCACGGTCCTTGCGCATGAGTTGTGCAATCTCATCCGCAATACCGTCAGTCTTGAGTTGCTCCATCTTCTCGCTAACCAACGGCCTGTTCTCTTCGTACCATGTGGCTGCGGCCATGTCGTCTTGCTCCCAGTTGGGGATGCTGGACAGGTGCTTCAGCATCTCAAGGCCACGAGCACGGGTGGCTGGGTCGGCCAAGGGACTCTCGTGTGTTGGCGAGGCAGCAGAGGCGAACTTCTTGAGGATGTACTCCTCGTTGAGACGGCGGCGGAGGCGCCAGTAGAAGAAGCGGCGGGCGTTTTGCCAGCGAAGTCCCTTGCGGATGACACCCTTGGCTTGCATGCGACCAGCGCGGTCGTGAAGATCAGCGAATTGAATGGCAATCTGACCGTAGATGGGAAGAAGCAGCTTCTCACGCTCATTCATCTTGGCCTTGATTTCCTTGAGTTCGGCCTCTGGTGTATCCTTGTCGTTCAGCTTGCGCTTAAGCTCACCATAGACGGGGTCGTTGCGGGCCATGGTGTCGAGCTGGCGCTCCTTGCGGTACTTGATGCCAACGATACCTTCGGGCTCGAGAACACCGCCGCGAGAGTCTTCGTCGGCGTACATCTCCATGAATTGAGGGTTGATGGTAGGATCGACGACGACCCATGATCCACCACGGAGCTCGCCGAATGGAGGAATGTAAACGAAGACGGGCTGCTGGTACTTGACGAGGCCATCGACAATGTACGAACCGTACTTGAGGACTTCGTTGTACATGTCGCGCTGACCACCAGAGAAACCACGCCAGTTGGCAAGGATCATCAGCGGCAGTTGCTCACCGTTGTTGAAGTCCTTGATAGCTTGGGCAGTCTTGAATGCAGAGTTGGGGTACCAGACACCACCAGCCTCAGATGTAACTTGCTCGATCGAGTCTGGGTTGGCGGGATCGGCAGGCGTGACATTCTCGACCGAGCGGGTCTCGACAGCGATGACACCAATGGGAATGCCACCGAGGCGAGCACGACCGACGACAACAGTCTTAGCCCAACCACCAAGAGTCTCTTCAAACGAACCGCGATCAAAGAGACCAGATTGGAAGCCATCTTCGTCCTCCTTTCCAGCAATGAGATGTCTGACATCGTACGCAGACTTACCAGGGGGATAGTAGGTGATGTCGCGGTCCCAGGCGTCAGCCGAAGGAGAAATCGGGACAGGGTTGCCCTTCTTGTCAGGAACGTAAGACAGCCACTTGACGATCTTGGAAACACCCTCGAAGTCATCACCGGCAGTCGAGTGTGAAACACCGTTTCGGTACATGATCTGTGTGCCACCAAGCTGGAGGTTAGAGGTGTAGACCTCACGACCAAGCAGCTTGTTGATAGCCTGAGCACCAGTGAGGATAATTGGCTGGCCCTCAATCTGGATGGCACGCTGACCGAGACGGACAAGGTAAGCACCGATGCCTATCAAATGTTAGTAAGTTGTTGCACAAATCGTAATCGAAATACATACCAACTGAACGGCAAGTGACCAAAGTGATGGTGAAGATGTCCTCGTAAGCCCTTGATGTCTCACCAGCAATGAGACCAGAGCCACGGAGGGACTCAACACCGAGACCATCCTCAGCACCAATGATGGTAGTAATCTTGTAGCGTGTCTCACCACCATCCTCGACCTTCTCGCAGATGACGTCCTTGCGCTTGCCATCAACAAAGTGCTCGTACTTCTCGGGTGTCAAGTAGAGGTAGTCGAAACCAGCCTCGGGCTTTTCAGGGACCTTCCATGCGACAGAGAAGTGAGGAATGAGCTCTTCGGCAAGACCAATTCGTGCACCAGAGTTGGCAGACAGGTAGATTCGGGGAATGCCAAGCTTACGTGCGAGCTCAGAGCACTTGTGGAAGAAGTTATCTTCCGCAGGTCCGAAGGAACCAATCTTGTAGGTGATGTCGTTGGCGATGATGATGAAGCGGCGGCCACGCGGGTATTCGGGCGTCTTGGCAGTCACAATCCAACCGACCATACCAATATTGTTCTGGCCAGGGTCGCGGTTGACCTCAGCAAGGTTCTCAGTATCATCAAGCACCAATTCGTAGTACTCGAGGCACTCTCCCTTGGCTGGCTGAGTCTCGCGGAGGGAGGGCTGCTTCTTGATAGCCTCGATCCAGCTGTTCTCCGTGGCTTGACGGAAGAGCTCTGGGAAGTCGTACACGTACTGAGTACCCATGAGATGGGCCTTGTACCTCTTGGGCTGAAGAGCACCCTTGGTAGGGTAAGGAGTGGAAACTGGCTGCAAGTGAAGCGAACCAATCTTGTTGGTTCCGCCAATGCTGTGGAAGAGCCACTTGCCAGCCTTCTCAGACTTGCGCTCAGCGTACATCTCCACCTCGATGACGTATCCAGAGGTGTTGGTGATGATCACACGGAGTGGGTAAGGAATGCCAGTCTGAGGGTCAGTCACGATGATGCGGATCTCAGCACCAGTGACACGGAGGCGCCAGAGTCGTCGACCGAAACGCTCCAAGAAACCGCCAATGGCCTCTTCAACCTCAGTGGGGTTCAGAGGGAAGACGTGAGAGAAGTTGATGAAGATGTGGTTCATGTCAGCTTGCGTGGTGCCAACAATCTCCAAAGCATCCAGAATATCAGTCATCAACCTATCCGTCTCAGAGATCATGTACTCAGCGGTAGGAATCTCCTCTCGGAGACGGCCAGATCGGACGACCGCCCTCAAGAAGTAGCGCTTGTCACTCTCGGCACCCTTGCCAATAGCCTCATAGATGTGGATATTTCGGTTCTCCGTGAAGACTGGCTTGATGTTGAATTTGGAGAGTCTGCCAAGCTCAAGCTGGAAGGCAAGAGCAGGCTCGACGTGACGGATACTGGCATCTTCCTCGTAGTTGGGTCCACGGAAAGTGTAGTAGCCGGGGTAAGTTCCGTCCTTGTGACCGCAGATGAAAGAGATGCGGCGAATACGGCGCGACAGAAGCTCTGTCTTGAAGCCCTCGACGATAGGCAGGATGCGGTCGAGGATCTCCTTGTCATCGTTGCCCTCAATATCGCGGACAGCGACGTTGAGGACACCAGTGAGCTCATCACTGTGCTTGGGCTCGTTGACACCAGTCGTAGGAGTGCGCTTCATGGTCAAACCCTCCCTCAAGCCAGTACCGGCCTTCTTCTCCTTGCCAAGGTTGGGGAAAATGTCCAAAGCCTTGCTGATGAGTTCATCGGCATCATCAAGGAAGTCGACAGGGACGACAACACCCTTCCTAGTGGGCTCACCCTCAAAGCGGTTCTGCCATGCGGTCATGTCGCTCAGGGACTGGATGCGAGGCGGGCGCTCAAATCCTGGTGTGCTTGGTGTGCCAGGCTCCGAGGGCTCTACGGCGAGGCCGTACTCGGCCTCACCGACCTTGCGGAGGATGAAGTCCCAAGAAAGGAAGCATTGCTGCTCGCCCTCGTTGTGGTAATTGATGTTCTGGAGCTGGTACGCACGGTAAGCACGGCGAGTGTACACCTCCAGGGCAGCAAGAGCAACCCAGGGATCAGAGTGGACGAAGAACTGGGTCAACACGTCAAAGACAGTGTACCTAGAATCGACAACCTCCTTGATGACCTCAAAGTTGGGCTCACGGTGGTCCCATCCGCTCTCACCGTAGCGAGACTCGACAACGGAAGAGCGCAGAATGTGCTCCATCTGTGCTGTACGCTCCTCGAGCGAGGGCATAGCGCACTGAATGAGGACCTCACGAGCCTTGAGGGAGACCTTGGCAGTCTGCCTGGACTCGAGCTCAGTAAGCTTCTTGAGAATCTCCTTGAAGTACTTGGACACGTTGCCGACACCGGGCTTGTTGGGTCGGTAGAGGTCAAGGATGGCGATGACAAGGTTGTTCTTCGCGCCAACCCTGGTGTGAGACAGGACAGTCTGGACAACGCTGGTGATGTTGTCACGGTTCTCGTCACGGAGCTTGAGGATAACTTCCTCATCACGCGATGTGCGAGACGAGAAGAGCGACTCAGTAGCCCAGTACATCTCCAAAAGCTTGATCATGACACTGTACTCGTGTGCCTTGAGACCCTCAGAGTAGCGGTCAATGACATCAGCCAGAGGCGCCAAAGAAGCCTTGAGCAGCGCAACGTCGCCCTTGGCTACGTTCTCCTCTACGAACTTCTGGAATGCCTTGTTGAGCGCCTTACTAGGGAACTCAAGGTTACGGCTGTGGGCTTTGTCGACAATCTGGGAGAAGGTAGCATCGAGCTTCTGAGGCATACGGGCGTGAAGAGCAGACGCTTGGGCGCTCCACTCTCCATAGGGCAGCTCGGGATCCCTGAGGACATCAACAAGCTCCTTGAGGGTGCTCTGCATGATGACCTGGTTGTCGAAACCCTGGAAGATGTTCTCAAGAATGTAGTATAGGTAGTTGAAGCGCTGCGGGGGCTTGGCTCCGGGCACTTGAGGTGCACCAAGGTCGGGAAGCTGGCCTGTGAAGTTCTGGGCGGTCTTGACCATGGATGGGTCATCAAGAGCCAGGACAGCGAGAATGTCACCAGCTTCGAGCGTGGCTCCTGGCTGCTTGATCAGGTTGACCATACCGGCCTCCTGTGCGATCAAAGGCATGTACATCTTCATGACCTCAACCTCGGCAAAAGGTTGGCCCTTGTCAACGTGCTCGCCGTTCTCAACGAGGAACCTGACGAGCTTACCAGGCGAAGGGGTTCGCAGTTGAGTGGGGTCGTTCTCTTGCTCGAGGAGACAAGTCTTACCGTCAACCGAGAGACGGGTGGCGCCGACTTCCTCCTTCCAGTAGACGTTGTGCGACTTTCCGCTGAGCAGGATCAAGAGACCGCCATCGGCAAGTGCCCTGATACCGACCGAGCACTTTGTTCCGTTGATGAACAGAGTGAAGCTGTCAATGGTCGATTTGGTAGCGGTAAACTTGTATCGGTTGCCCTCGTAGATGAAGTCGATAGGGAAGACTGTCTTGAGCACATCCTTTGACGGAACCTGACCCTTTTGCAGACTAGCAGTGTATTCGCTGATGCAGGCCTCGCTCGCAACGTGGGCCTTGGTAACAGCACCGCAAATGACAGCAATCATGGTGTCTGGTCGCTCAGCAGTCAACTTCTTGGAAATGAGCTCGTCGAGCCAACCAGTTGTGATGGTGTTCTCCTCGAAAGCAGGCGTCTCGAGCAACTTGATGAGGTACTCAACAGTCGTTCGGAAGTCACCACGAATGCTCAACTCCTTGAGCGCAACAACCATGTGCTTTCGCGATGCTTGTCGGTTTTCGCCGTAAGCGAAAATGTGACCGAACTGGGAGTCAGAGAAGCTGTGAATGCCACCAGCGGAGCTGACGGAGAAGTAACCCCAGACGTTGGAGCTACTCCTGAAGTTGAGGTCGTGAATGGTACCACCAGATGGCTTGAAGCCCTCATCGGGATCTTCAGAAGTGATACGGCAAGCCGTGCAGTGACCCTTGGGAGTAGGTCGTCGCTGGCTCTTGGCGCTGCCTTCGGTGGAGAAGTCAAAGTCGATGACAGAGCTGGAGTGGGGATCAGCGCCGTACAGGAGACGAATGTCACGGATACGGTGCAATGGGAGACCCATGGCGATCTGGAGCTGGGCGGCTGGGAGGTTCACGCCCGTTACCATTTCGGTGGTAGGGTGCTCGACTTGAAGACGAGGGTTCAGCTCCAAGAAGTAGAACTTGTCGTCAGCGTGCGAGTAGAGGTACTCGACAGTACCGGCAGAGACGTATCCGACGAGCCGTCCGAGCGAGACGGCAGCCTTCTCCATCTCCTGGAAGGTCTTTGAGCCAGCAACTGTTACCGGTGCCTCCTCAATGATCTTCTGGTGTCGTCGCTGTACCGAACAGTCACGTCCGAACAGCGAAATGTTGTTGCCGTACTGGTCAGCCAGCAGCTGGACTTCCAAGTGACGTGCGCTGCCCGCCAACTTCATAATGAAGATGGGCGATCCAGGAATCTCAGAGGCAGCCGCCTTGTAAAGCTGCTCAAAGTCTTCTTCGCGCTCGACCTTTCGGATACCCTTGCCACCACCACCTTCTGAGGCCTTGACCATGACGGGGAAGCCAATCATCTTGGCCTTCTCAAGACCCTCTTCCCACGACTTGGTGCAACCCTTTTGGTAGACGTCGTCTTCGACTGTGACAATGCCGTTGCTATCAACCTTGACCTCATCAACACCGGTTCCTGACCATGGAATGCATGGTACGCCAGCATGTTGTGCGACAATTGTGGAGGAGATTTTGTCACCAAGCGAGCGCATGGCGGATCCGGGAGGACCGATGAAGATGATCTTCTTGGGCGAAGCGGCAAGCGATTCGGGGAGCTTGGGGTTCTCCGAGGCGTGTCCCCTAGAAACGCAATGTCAGCCCGATTTGCCCCTCCCAATTCATGTAGAGAACACGCACCATCCTGCCCACACGGCGTGAACATTCATTCGCTCGGCCACATCGACAATGAGCTCAACATTGGCGTAGTTGTTGTTGTTGGTACCGCCGGGTACCTGCATGTACCTGTTAGTTGGTCCTCCATTTGTTTTGCCGCTCCCAGGCTTTGCAAGTGGCAACATACCTCAACGTATTGATCCGCCATGCGGATGTACTCTGCGTTGGCCTGGAGATCCTCAGGTGTCGCCATGACGGTGAATTGAATCGCCCGCTCATCGCCAAACGTCTCGTATGCCCATTTCCGCACAGAGCGGATCTCTTTGACAGCGGCGATACCGTTGTTCGCAATGAGAACCTGCGGGGAAAGCCCGAAGTCAGCGCGTCCAAACTCCAAATAACATTTTTTTTTGCCAGGAGGAGATTCTCTTACATTGGTAATGACTGTGTGTCCATCGTGCGCTGCCACAAAGTCCTTGACTTTGCCGGGAGAGGCTACGCTGAGGTTGTTGCCGCCGATAAAGTGCGGAGCAAGATCGAACTTGGCTGAGTAGGAGCTCAGGGAGCCATTGGCATCCCCATTGACTCCGTTCTGAGCAGCTCCGGCCATATTGTTTACTGGTGATCCCATGCAACTAGGAATTAGTTGGATGTAGAGGGAGTTGGGAGGGGAAAGTTTGGTCGGAACTCAGGTCGGCGAGTGATCGGGTAATTTTCCACTGAGTAATGGGCAAAGCTGGAGCTCGGCCTTTAGTGTCGTAGATCTACAAATGAGACCCAACGTCGGTTGGTCTGCAAGAAAAACCGGATGCACACACCCTCTTGTTTGGAGACGTGTGCAGTTGCTGTTTTAACGAGTCTGTCGGTGGGAGGACCCGAGCAGAAATGTTAGTAGACTACAGCTGGAGTATCGGAGGGGAAGGCCGCTCAAAAGCAATCTTCCGATACTAAAGGCGTCCAAATGTGTATGTTGCGGGCGCCGGGAGGAGAGCACCTGCAAACAACGATTGGACAGTGGGGGAGAGAAGTGTTGTAGGGCAAGATACAACACTGTAGTATGTATGTATGCGGGCGTGTGTAGTATGTACAAGTGAGGTGAGAGAGACTTGAGAGAGAGAGAGGGAGGAAGGAGGAAGCAAAGTGAGGAAAGAGGGAAACAACAGCAGTCGCAAAGTTGCCGGGCGAGGACTTGTGTAAGTATTAATTTTTTTCTCAAGGAGGGTCGCGGAACACCCCAATGCCCTTCCCGAAGAGCTGTTGAGCTTGAGCCGAAGCTGGACATTGCCCAGCGATGCCAAACCTGGGATGGGCCCTTGGACCACGTACCCCATGCCGCCCCTGGCCATGTCGCGATCTGCTCCCAAGCCACCGTACATGGTGGGCGTCGGAATTCGGTCGGAACTCCTTGGTGTAAGCTAAACGCGACTCCGCTCGGAAAAAAAAAACTCCATAACTTCTTGACGCTGCAAAATGCTCACTAGAAGATTCCATTGTGCAACCCGGTGTCCACAGAGTGGCCCATGGGCCGACAGAACCAAGCGTGTAGTACAAAGAGGGTGGGCATTGGCCGCTATGGCGGTGCCAGCAATCGGCGTGTTGGGAGAGCCAGTTCCGAATTAGTTTGTTCTTGCGAGCGAGAGGGCCACCCGATCGCGACCTCACCTTTCACTATCTCTCAGCAAAAACAACGTTATTCTCTAGGCACATCGCCCATGCCGCCCGTCCCGCTTCCATTGGCCCCCACTCGCAACTCTGTCCCTGAGTTGCGGCCAAAATCGCAGTTGCGATGCCTCAATGCCCCTTTGCCGTCCTCCCTTACCCCTCCCGCTCAACAAAGTCGCCCATGTTGCCCCCCCACCAATTCCTCCGATCGCCCTCTTTTCTGTTCACCGCCAGCCCAACACGCTTTCCCCACCGCAGCCGCAAACTTTTTGCCCAGCGCTTACTTGCAATCAATGTCAGACTGAACATAGATAGAATCCAAGGCACAAGACAATCAATAAACCCGCCCCGTGTCCCGTTCCATGACCGCAGCTGCTTGCCTTGTCACTACTTTTGGTCGTTCAATGATGATGCTCGGGTCTCCTCCTCCGGTATGTCTCTTCCATCGGACTCCGTCGCAAGCCGCCCAATCAGCGCGTCCTGAAGCCCCCCTCAACCAACTCTCGGATCATATCAAGAGACACCTACACACACCCGTCCTCCTCGGAGCATATCGCACTATGCTCGAATCAACCAGATGAATGACGCCTCTTTCTGAATAAAATAAGGATTACACCGTATGAATGAGAATAGGGTTTACACCGTAGTCCCCTAGACACTAGAAAACGGTAAGAAAGAAAAAGGACCCCAAGTAACTTTACGTCCGAATGCTTCATCTTCTTCCCGTGATGCGGCCGTACATGCGGAATCTTGGCGTAGGTGCCCGCAAATCGCTGCTAAGGCACCTATCTCTCGTGCGTGTGTTTATGCTTTGGATAACGTGTTATGCATAAGAAAAAAACTGCTTATAGGGGGGGGGAGGAGCGGACCGGCACAAAAAATAAACTATCCAGGAGACATTACGGAGGTGCCTTTCAAAAGTTCTGTCTGACGCTAATTTCGGCGCTTCGGCGTAACTATTCTTAGCATAACTCTTACCTTTAAGCTAAGCTATTAATTAGTTATAGTTATCTATCTACTATAGCTCCTAATACTAATTCTTATACCTATACCTTAATTATAATATTAAAGTTATCTCCTATTAGTAAGTTAATATTATAGATCTTAGAGCTAACTAGTATCTATTCTTATATAGTTAATTATATCTATAGTAGAGCTATTACTACTAGCTTTAAGCTAAATATTCTCTCTCTTAAGATTCTTCTATACTATATTTAGAATACCTCTTACTTTAGTAGATTTACTAAGTAGATAGAGAAGATAAAAGAGTAGATATTTTAATAAGTATAATATAATAGATATAAATAAAAAAAGATCTATACTAACCTTACTAGTATGCTTAGTCTTTAAAGAGTTAAAATCTCTATCTCTACTATCTAGAGAGTATTAAGAGTAGTAGAATATAGAAAGACTAAGCTAATAAGGAAGCCTAGATTAATATAGAAGATAAAGAGTACTTATCTTAAGTAGATATTAGAGTATAAGAACTAAACGTTAGAGAACTAAAAGAATATTATCTAGATAGATAAGATATCTATAGTAATTAACTACTAATATAGAGGCTATAGAGTCTAAAGAAAAGTAGATAAGAGAGTAGTTAAGAGCTATATTTATAAAAGATAGAAGAGATACTCTAAGTTTATATTCTAAGGCTACTTCTTATATAATAAGAAAGATCTATACTATATCTATTAGCTAGAGATAAAGATAGAGAAA